AATGGCATTGCCAAGACAAAGACTAGCAGCATCCAAAAGGACTAAGGCGAATAAATTCTATTTGGAGGCTAGCTTAAACAGTAAGACATTAATTTTCTCGGAACTTTAACTGGCCGACAAGCTAGTTTACTACTTTAAAGGTATGACATGGATTTAAAATATTGTAAATGTTTTCGGTGGAGGGTAACTACCTTGAAAAGTTAATTTTACTTTTTTTATTTTCACTTAAGTACATTGCTTTCAATGTATTCATAAATTTCTATACTCAATAATTTTAAAACACAAAATTGCTGTGTTCTGGTTTTATTGCCATTAATCCATTAAATTTGTATTTTCGAGTAAGCTGAAAACCCAAATAACTATAAATACATTGATTTTGAGCATGCAACAACGTTTTATGATAATCATTTGTATATAAGTATTAGCCGATTACCTATACTCGGTGTATGAATTTTTGTAAAGCAAAACTCAGTTTTGAGTTGAATTATGAGAAAGCGCATGAATGATAACTGGAAACCACCAATAGTTACTTAAAGTTTATATTAAATTTCTATAAGTTGTTATTCTAAATATAACCACATATTAGTTCCTAAAACAGTAATAAACTTTTTTATTGAAGTTGCAGATTTTGGCGCATTTTGATCATTTGCTTACAAAATTAATTTCAATTTAACCAAAAATAGACAAAGATGAGCGCTACTTTAATAATACAAAAAAGTTAGAACATTCAATTAGAATATTTGTGTTACACGATAAGAAGTAAATATAAATACATATCAATGTTTAAATATATAGAGAATACACGAAACCACGAAATATTATGGTTTAATTATTATACACTTACATATGTATATCAAAATACAGCAGAGTGTACTAAATAAACGATAAAAACTTTAAATTTGTCGATGGATTTCTTTAAACGATGACAACGGATGAAGGTTTGTTTATGATTAGAAACTTGGATATGACACTTTAGATCAACTAATAATATGCAGAATAAGATGACTTATCACATCAATGCTATAGGATTATGTGTAAACAATGTAACGTCACCTAAAATGCAAAATTACGTATCATAAAATAATCGATACTTAGCTTTTCATTGGCTACGATTCTTTACCTCATGAATCCACAAAATTTTAAACTTATGCTATCAGATATAACCATGTTATAACCGACATTCAAATTTGGTTTCAGTATGAGTAGTATGTATTTTAACGGGTGATCCAAGTCGAGGTACTTTTCTCAATAGCCTTTTTTTGACATATCACGAATGAGTCGTATCTTGCTGTCATGTTATTTTTGTTCAGTATTATTTGCCATTTCATCATGGAAAGACTTGAACCACGTTTACAAATCGTTCAACTTTATTACGTAAATTCACGTTGTGTAAAGAATTTTTCAACGCTCAACTTATGGTCAAGATAATTGGCAACCTATTCGCAATATAATCACCCAGCTTAAAACCCAGCATTCCCAGCCGTAGGATTTTGAATAGTTCCAAGAAGATCGAACGTTTTCGAACCAAATTTTTTTCAGCGATAAAGCCAATTTCTGGCTTAATAAGTATGTAAACAAGCCAAATTGACGCATTTTTTGTTGGAGCGAAACATCACCCATGTCATTCACCAATTACCAGTCAATATGCTCAAACGAGTCATCGAAAATTGGGCTCAATGGATGGACCATCTGGGACGTACTTGCGGCGAGCAGCGGAAATTAAAAAAAAATAAAAGCCAAAGAATGTTCTTTCGAATGAGTTGAATAAATATTCCCCAAATTTGAAGCTTCTGTGCCTTTTTCTTAAAAATACTAGACAACTTTTTCCAATTCCCTAATCAGTCCAAACAGGAACTTCAAATTAGAGCACTTGGTATTTGCCAATCGACTTACCGGATACGCTTTGTAGTATCCAGGTAGTCGTAAGTCGTCGACTATTCAATTAACCGCTCATTTTCGCTTATCCGGTTAACCGTTCTTTGTCAACTATTCGAATTGTAAGCGTTCAACTTCTATAAATTTTTTCTACGTACATATATAAGTTTATATAAACAAGGAAAAATCAAAGTCTCCTTGAATTTCAAATAATTTTCATTTATTCGAATACTCGCTGTAGACCAACTATTCGAGTATTCGCAATGTTACGACTATGATATTAATTGATTAGTATTTATACGAATGGTTACAACGCGGATATTGGAATAATCAGTTTTCAGGTTATTCGATTAATTTGAAGACTCCTGCTTGAAAGTATTTGTGCTGCATCCAAAATATATGAAATTTATGGCCGCCTACAGTGACGGGTGAACGATTCAATTATATAAGGTCCAATAAGAAATCCAGGATAAAAATATAAAATTGTATAATTTGAGTAGCGATTAAAAAATATTTTCGAAAGAAGTTCGTTTTCTAGTAACCATATGATAAAATATATAATATGCTGATTGTTAGTTTGATGTCAGATAATGTGAAGAGGATGACTGTGATGGATATGTTAGTTAGTTGATTTGGTTTGTCATCTTCCGAACACACTCAAAGGTAAACGGTAAAGTGATCATATAAGTGTAAGTTATTTGTCAAGCTAGTCTCTGGATTTCATCTATAAATTATTCGATAGTATTCATGCAGTGATCACAAATCTAGTGAAAAATGTGATAATATCACTTTAGCCGAATTATTTTCGTCATAATGCAGCTTTTTTTTAATACACGTCAAACATTTTTAAGTTGGATATAAACATTAGTCATTTTTTATTTTTATATATTATTAAGCGACTTTTAAAAATTAAGTTCTACATAACATAAATATGTGATTTTGCATGCCTAACCGCTTTTAGAATATGCCTAATCATTAATTAAGGCTTTACACACAATAATTTTTCTATTGAATAGTACAGCTTTAATACAACATTTTTTGGTTTGGAAATTTTTTTGGTGTACATCACAATTAAAATTTGCGTGGCTATAAAGACCATAGATATGTGTATATATGTGTGTGCAGCCAAAAGCAGTGTTGTGCGTAAAGTGCGTTATTAATGGGTATGTAATGTGAACTTGACCGCCTTTGGCATATTTATCATTAACAGCAATTATCAAAAGGGCGTAATACAGTTTGCTTAAGAGCTAAATAAAAGAGTAATAAATAAAGTTGCAACCAACTAACCGCTCCTAAGTCACATATCTACTTGTCTATGGGTTTTATTTAGTGAGATATCATGGCTGAGTAGCTATTCGCGTAGTATTTTATATCAAGATGTAAAATATTATATTTTAGCCACATAATGGTTTTAACGTTCATAATGGAAAATGGCACAATTTGTTGCAAGATGAATGACGACAGTGTTTGTTGCAAACTTGAGTTATTATATATACATATGTATATATAAATAAGTATATAAATAATTTTGCAATATTTTTTCTTAATTATTTACAAGTATACACGCATTTAGTTAGAAAGAGAGGTTTATGTTACTTGTAATTGTATATAGTGCTAAATTCATGTGCTTGTGGGTATTTTTAAAGTACAATAAAAGTATTTTCCTACTAACCTAATGGCATGACATACAAACAACCGCACTCGCATTCGTTGTAAATTCCCATGCCCTGCGTGTGATTATCTTTGTACAGCGCCGTGATTTCGTTACCATATCTTCCCGACATCTTATTTCGGTGATGGGAATTTCGAGATAAAGATACCGGCATCAACCTATTGTCTAAAAATTGTCAACTTGCACGAATTTACGTAGGCTTCAATGTTTGGTATGCAAGCGCATAAAAAAATATAACACATACATAATTGTAGACTGATTTTCGCGACTGATTTGGCAAATAAGTTTGGGTTGTTTACAAAAAATATATTTACTACTTATTATTTGTAGGGAGCCATGTTGCAAGTGATATGGTAATTGTGGTGTAACGAGTGTGAAAAAATCCCATCAGCTTTACGGAGGTGCGTTAAAACTTGCAGGGCCTTCCTCATTTGATACAACATCGGATCATGCATTTTGAATAGGAAGATATGCTCAGATACTCCGATTATGAATGATACCTATTGAGACTGCAAGGAATGGAATTTTCAACGTGCTTCTTTCAAAAACCTTATACTTTTAACCTCAAATATGCTTACGCCAATCTTGTTGTCTTGTTCGGAAATAGTAACAAAAAATTTATTCGGCTTTTAAATGTGATTTTATATTTATAAAAACAAATAAATAAACAAATATGTACCATTCTCGACCACTTTTAGCAATTTTTCCGCTAAAAACATTACTCCATCAGTATAAATCGAAATTTCGAAATTTCCAGAACGGAAGTGAGCGAACCATTGTTGCGGTACACACTGGGTCATTTAATTGGCTTGCGTGGCATTCTTCCTTTTTTTTTTTTACAAAAATTTCAAAATATGTGACCTGGTCTACGGAAAGGGGGCTTTTTAACAGCTGTTTCCCAGAAAACTAGTTTTCGCACGATAGCTCCCTTTTTGTAGACCAGGTCACATATAGCGAATTTCTTTGTTATTTTCACTCATTTTTGAACAGCTTTAACTTATTTACAATTTTTTTTGGTTGATGAAGCTTAAAATGCTTCCAACACTATATGGTAAGAGACAATGTGATTGCTAATACTTTAGATATAAGACTGCAACGACATCTATTGACAAAATAAGAAAAGGCTACCCAATATATTGATTACTTGTGACCGTAAGCAATAAAAAACTCAATTTCGATTTTTTTAGATGACAATATTCTTTTACTCTCTATTACTTTCTATAAGCGTTTTATAGATTCGTATCTTTAATCTTCGAAATTTTGGTTATTCGTTTTGCAACCATATCAGGAAATATTTCTTGGTATGCTTCCTTCAGTCCTTGTGAAGTGAAAAATCTTAGAACATATACATTTTTGTTTAACAATTTATTTTAAAAATATACAAAACTTAAATGAAGATATGTTTTTTACATTTTTTATGAAAGTACTCGTAATACACAAATATTTTACAAAAAAAGATGAAAAATGAAAGAAAGTATGTAAGAATACATACATACATATACATAAATGAAACTTAGAGTATAGTTTACAAACAAATCGAACATCGAATTACATGAGCTTGTAATGAGAAATGAGAGATGTATGTATGTTTAACTTCATTACAGGCGAAGAAATGGCAACGCTGAGTTTTTGGAAGGAACCCATATAAACCTAAATAATTTTCAAATGTGATTTAAGTCGAGGCAGAGATGGTGCCGATCACTTAGAAAGTGACAAGGAAAATATTTGGATTACGCCAAAAATTATATGCCTCTATTAACAGGGTCTCTTTGCAAGGTGATGATGATCTATTTGCGATACTTGTAACCACCATCGGCAGAGTAACTTTGTGGTATGGTTTCTGGCACTGATATTGGGCCACTGTAGCTACCACCGGATAGGCTTGATTCTGGCGGCGCGCTGTATGAAGAAGAAGGGCCAGAAGGAACAAATCCACCACCATTACCTCCTGCACTTGGAGCGCCATAGCTGGAAGAGGGTGCTGATGGTGGTGCAGGTGCCCCATAGCTTTGTGATGGGGCTGGAGCTGGAGCCGGAGCACCATAACTGGTGGAAGGTGCACCGTAGCTAGACGATGGGACCGAAACAGATGCTGGTGCTGGTGCACTGTATCCGGTTGGAACACCATATGATGTAGACGGTGGAGCGGGTTTTGACGGTGCAAAAGGTTTGGAACTCGAGGGAGATGGTGGTAAATATGAATTAGATGGTGGAGCAGGTGCTGATGGTGCCCCATAACTAGATGAAGGTACTGATGGAGGAGCTCCATAGCTGGATGAAGGTGGTGAGCTCTTTGGTGGACCGTAGCTAGATGCTGGTGGAGATGGTGGTGCACCGTAACTAGATGCTGGCGGCGAAGGCCGAGAGGGTGGGCCATAGCTTGAAGCTGGAGGCGAAGGAGGAGCACCATAGCTCGAAGATGGTGGGGACGGCCGTGAAGGAGGACCATAACTAGAAGCTGGAGGTGCAGGTGGAGCGCCATAGCTCGAAGATGGTGGGGACGGTCGAGAAGGAGGACCATAACTAGAAGCTGGAGGTGCAGGTGGAGCGCCATAGCTAGAAGATGGTGGAGAGGGACGAGAAGGAGGGCCATAGCTAGAAGCTGGTGGTGAGGGCGGTGCACCATAGCTAGAAGATGGTGGAGAAGGCCGTGAAGGAGGTCCATAACTAGAAGCTGGTGGTGGTGGAGGTGCGCCGTAACTTGATGATGGTTGAGAAGGCCGTGATGGAGGACCGTAACTGGAAGCTGGTGGCGATGGGGGTGCTCCGTAGCTCGATGATGGTGAAGCCGGTCGGGAAGGAGGACCATAGCTAGAAGCTGGAGGTGCAGGTGGAGCGCCATAACTGGATGATGGCGGTGAACTCTTTGGAGGGCCATAACTGGAAGCTGGTGGTGAAGGGCGGGATGGAGGACCATAACTAGATGCTGGTGGTGAAGGAGGCGCACCATAACTGGGAGATGGCGGAGCAGGCCGAGAAGGAGGACCGTAACTAGATGCTGGTGGTGATGGAGGTGCTCCATAACTGGTTGCTGGTGGTGAAGGTCGCGATGGAGGGCCATAACTAGATGCTGGTGGTGAAGGAGGCGCACCATAACTKGGAGATGGCGGAGCAGGCGGAGCAGGCCGAGAAGGAGGACCATAACTGGAAGCGGGTGGTGACGGTGGAGCGCCATAGCTAGGTGATGGAGGTGCACTCTTAGGAGGACCATAACTAGATGCTGGAGGTGCTGGAGGAGCTCCATAGCTGGTTGCTGGGGGTGACGGAGGGGCGCCATAGCTGGGTGAAGGTGCAGATGGAGGGGCACCGTAACTGGATGATGGTGGAGATGGAGGAGCTCCATAGCTTGAAGCTGGTGGTGATGGTTGTGCGGGTGGAGAAGGTTTTGGAGGTCCATAAAAGGCTATAGGTGACTGTGGGGCAGAGTAAGTTGAAGCGGGCACCTTAGCGGGACGTCGAGGTTTCTGCGGAGCTCCATAACTAGAGCTTGGTGGACTGGGTGGAGCGCCATAGCTAGGCGACGGTGGTGCGCTATAGCTAGGGGCGGGTTTGCTGGGCGGACCGTATGAAGTAGATGGGCGCTGTGGTGGTGGTGGTGCTGGTCCCGGCGGTGCGCCATAGCTTGAACTTGGCGGACCTTGTGCACTGGCATACGGCCCACCGGTGGGCGCACTTGAGGCATAACTACTTTGGGGTGGGGCGCTGTATGACGTAGCCGGTCCCGACGCTGGCGGCAAATAAGAGCTAACTGGAGGCTCTGCATTGACAAAAGTGAGTGCAACGCATATCAGCTACAAAGAGAAAAGAAGGAATTTATTGTTGAATTTATTGGAAAGCGTTAATTGAAAGTAATGTAATAAATATAAATGTACGTATATGTAATATATATTGATAAACGTACCGTTGCAGCTTTCGCTGTGGAGTGAAAAAGCTTCATATTGGCAACGGCTAATAAGGGAAATGCTGAAACACGTTATATAATCTGCAAATAAAATAGAAAGGATTAGTTCTCATTCTGAAAGGTTATGAAATATGAAAAAGTTTGAAGGAATTGGTATTTATAATTTGTAGTTTAGATAAGTGAGATTGTTCACCAGTAAACTCTCACTTTCATTATACTACCATATAGTTATGCATTAATTGTATATAATGTGAAAACTTGCATTGAAGATCATGTTTTGTGTTTATTTGGAGTGAATTTTCTTTTATCTTTAAAACCATGTCGAATTTTATGTTAAACAACGAAGACTGTAACTGGAACCAACTACAGCTTCATGCATGACTTGTTGCGTATCTGAATTAAGAGTTTATATAGATACGAACTCATATGTACATTTATTTGTATATAGATATGCAGAAAACTTCCATGTTAAAGATGATTTCGCAAATTTAAGGAAATCAAACATTTTTTGTTATTATTTTGGAAATAAATACAATACTTCATAATATCTAAAAAGCTCCCATCGATCAATATGATTTCTAGGTTTTCTAAATACTAATTAATAATAAATTTATGCATTGTCTCAACGAATAGTAATCATCAGAAATACTCCATTTGCAGTATATAGTATATTGGATAGTCAAGAAAGTCTTTTCGTATTTCTAATCAAACTTCAACTTATTTCTTTTTTATATTTATACTCAATATTATAATTATTTCAGGTGGCAACACCTTATACAGGCCGCGTAATTTTTTTTTTTTTTTATATAAATGTTTACCTCTATATATGCGTATATAGAGACATGAAGTAATACAAATTTGCACTACTTCTTTTATAGCGAAGTTCAAAGAAAACATTGCAAATTACAGACGAAGGAAGAATCAAGCGAAACAAAGAAACTTCAAATGGCAGCATTACGCAAATGAACGGTTTCGAGTCCACTGCGAATGCTGCGTTGGCCGCCATACGCACGGGCGCCAAATGCGATTTCGCAAACAATGAGCGCGTGTTCAGTCACAAGCGCATGCGCAATGAATGCAATTACAAACTTCAATTGAAAATTTGTTTTATGTATGCATGTGTGTGTATGTAGACAGCGAATACATGTACAAATGAATCTGTATATTTAGATACATTTCATGTATTTGACGGCTTGATGGTGACGTTGATGCTTGAAAAATCAATTCGAAACCAATATGGAATTCTTTGGCGTTACGAAATCGCAAAAGAATGGAAATTAAAAAATAAGCCTGAAAAAACGTTTGGTTGCGCCGAAGCTAGAATACCCTACACAAATGAAAATTTTTCCAAATAGAAACTTGATTTTGATCGTTCACTTTGTAAGGTAGATATTTGCTATAGTAGTCCGATCTAAAAAATTTGTTCGAAGTTTGTATAGGGGATAGTGGATGATATTGATATCATTGGCCTCAATAACCTCGGCTGCTTTGTTTAGACTGGATAAGGAACCGAAGCGTAGGGGACACAAGACGAAATATCTTCTGTCATCAAACATACAGTCGTCGCAATCGCGACTTGGTACGACACTGTTGACAGCCATAATTTCGAAGGAACCATCATAAAATCAACATAATAACAACGTCAGCCTCGAAACCCAACGCAGAATTACTTTTGCCAACAGGTCCTACTTCGAACTGAGTAGGAAATTGAGAAGTAAAGTCCTCTCTCGACGAACAAAGATCAAATTCTAAAAGTTACATATTAATCTCGTCCTGCTATATGGAGAAGAGTCATGGACGAAGTCAACATCTTATGAGTCGGAGATACGAGTTTTCACTCCGGCTCTGAAAGACATAGTGTACGCTAGAGGAAGCAGAGGAAGAGGTAGACCTCCGACTCCGTTAAAAAGACCAGGTCGAGAAGGATCTGACTACACTTGGAATCTCCAATTAGAACAGCGAAAAGGAAAAACAACTGGCGCAATGTTGTAAACTCGGCTATAACTGCATAAGCCGTGTATACGCCAATAATGAAGAAGAAGTCTGATCTAAAAAATTTGTACGGAGTTTGTGTTACCTTGGTTAATAATTCATTGGAGTTTCGTCATTTCTCCATACAAGAGCTTAATTTTGAACGGCGATTCCGACAAATGAGCAGCTTCTAGGGAAGAAAAAGAACTTCAGATCGATGTCTAAGAAACGTATCTACGAGAAACATCGTTAAATCAACTGAGCCCGTCAAGCTACTCATTCATTTTCCCTTCTGCGTTTTATAAACTTAGTATACTCTATACGGGGTATAAAAATAAATATGTATATACAAGCGCTTTATATTGAAGATAAAGTGCCGCTATAATTGATTCCTAGTATTACATGTAAATGTCGTAATATTGATTTATTATATTTACCGAAAATTGCACGCTAAGTGCGACTTAAGCCACGCGCCAACTTCAATTTGCCGAACGAAGTTGGCTTTAAGGGCATTTACATGCATAATGCAGCATTAGTTTTCAAAGCCGTGCTGCACATGCGCTCAGTGTCATGCTCGTTGTACGTACAGTTGAAAAATTGATTCCGCCTTCCCCCACACGCCGCAGTTTGCATTGAAATTCCATGCCATTTAACTCCATGGTGATATTACAGCGGATATACACAGTTTCTCCAGTCAACTTATGCCTTTAAGTGCGTCTTGCCGTTGGCGGCTGCATCAAATGCTGGTCGTTAATGTGGGCAAATTCATCAGTTTAAAAATTCTGTTAGCGCGCAAATGCCCCATTAGCCTCACACCCGCCTGCTGAGCCACATTATCTGCCACATGCATATTGAGGCATTGTAAACTTTGACTATGAAAAAAAAAATTATGCAAAGCAGGGCTTCAAGTGGCACAGATACTCATATCGCACGCCAAATGACGGGAGGTCACATGAACGGTGGGCGGTGGGGCATTAGCATTAGTGTGTTTGGCGGCTGACAAAGTTCGTTGAATGCAATTTTGCGGCGCTCACTTACTTTTTCATTGTGTGGCAATGTATTTTCGAATTTTTATTTTCTTACTCGCATTTGTTGTTGGCGTTTGCCTTTTCATGCCTTGAATAAGCGAAAACAACAGTGAAATAAAAATGAGTTATGAAAGAGAGAAACGAGTCGGAAAAAACAGTTAAAATTTAAGTGTTTCTTCCTTGTGCTGGCATCAAATGTTGCTGTAACTGTCTGTTTTTCAATTTTCGTTGTCAACCACTGTGGTTGCAAGTGCATTTTGTGTTGTGTCTAACTTTCGCTTTTTATGTGTTTGTTTTCGGGTATCGCTTGTTTGTTGTTGTCGTTTTCATTTTCAAACGAAATTCCAGTATTTTCAGTTTTCAATGTTATTCTTTAGACTCACTTAGCGCTCTCGCCGCTGTCATTGCTGTCATCTCACAACTGATGCATGCAACACAACCGTTAGTCAACCACGTTCGGTTGCATAACTTGGCGTTAATTTTGTGCTGCCATTGCATGACGAGTCCCTTTATTAATGTTTTAATTTTTATGAGCAAACTTTCCAATAACGAAATAACTTATGTGGATGAGTATCTGAAAACATGTGCATATATGTATGTGTGTGAATACATAACCTTCGCGGTAAATTAGCGGCTATTTATGTTGTGGCTTTAAATATCATTTTTAGAATAGATTTTTAATTTTGAAAGCTTATTTAGGAGGTTTCGATTGTTAACTGCTTCTTAAAGGGCACACCTAGTGTAACATCGTAAAAAAAGCATCTTTTGGGATCAAAAAAAAAAACTAACTCCGTGTTAAAAATTTGAAGGTATATTTATACATGTTTTTAAATGTCACAAAATAAATTTTTAAAGAAGATATTAAATATTTTTGAAATGATAAGCGATCTCCGGTGACGCCAAAAAAAAGGTCCTCCACTGCTGCCATGATTGCAGCCTTCTCTGTTGATAAACCCTACAAAAAATTCTCGTTAAACTAAAAAATATTGTCTGTACGATGACCCTCGGGCTAATAAAAAAAATCAAAAATTGACAAAATGGCGGCATGTTGAAAAAGAGTTAAATTTCACCCAAAACTATGGTCGTTTTTGCCTGCCAAAATTCGATTTTTGATTAGATAAATAAACTGGAGGGTCATCGTTTGGAGAACTATATATCGGATCACTGATTGAAAATTTCACCTAGGTGTGATCCTTAAAATATAAATGAAAATTTAGAGAACTGCGATAACACAAAACATTTGAAGGTTTTGAATGAAATCCTATGTTTAGAAATTCTATTATCATTTTCTGTCTTAGCAACCCTAAAGTTGCAAGAAACAGTCTTTAATATAACAGTTGCAAAATGACTGTAAACTATTACTATGATGTTTTATTGCACAAAGAGTTTGCGTGAAATTTTGCGTAGAACTATTTTGGGAGGCTTTCCTTAACATGAACATAAGTATGTATTTGAAGGCAAAAAACTCTCAGATGAGTCGTTTATCCACCTGTGCTAATGACGTTAGCATCAAAAAAGTCAAAGAAACACTGCTTGAAAGTTGTCGTGTTGGCAGTAGAGAAATGGCAGATGATCTCAAAATATCTTATGGATCGACTCAACATGTTTTAGTTAATGTTTTGGTATGAAGCGAGACTGGTTCCAAAAGACTGAAGACTTTTGCAAAAACGACGTCGAGTACGTGTCCAAAAAGATATGCTTCCTAACTCAGCTGACCTTATATCCATCAAACACATAATTATTGTTAACGAGATGTGTGCAACAATCTAACGAATGACACAATGAAGCCGAAGTCGTATAAACGAAAATCCGCTGAAGGCACTGATGGCCAACCCAATCGAGGCTTATAACAAGTATATGGAAAATTGTATCAAGCTTTGGCCTGGTTGTATTAGCTCAACAGTCAATTTTGAAGACGATATGAAAAATGTTTATTAAATACACGATAATGTAGTTTCTTGAGTCAGTTCGGATCAAATTTCACTTACTCATTCGTAATCAATAAAAAAGCCAGTAACACAATTTTGTGAATGATACGTCATTTTGTACTCAAGCTGAAGATATATTATATGTATGTATACTATATGTATGTATGCTGTAAAATTATTTTTTTATTCCTAAAGTATAAACTATGGAAGCTATAACATACCGAAACGAATGAAAAAATATCCAAAAATTGAAAGGAAAGATGATTTTATTTACTCAACAAATGTAAAAAAATTATCAAAAAATGTTGTATCTAAACTAAGTCACAAAAAGGACCCGGAAATTATAATTAAGTTCCCAGGAAAAAAGGTATTTCAAAACAATATTTCTATGTTGGTAGGGCTGTCCTTAATTATTGTGCCAAATATGAGCGCGATCTATCAACCAGTTTGTTTACAGCAGCTGCTTAAGTCGGTAGAACTCAGTAGTGCGTTGCGATTTTTATAATGGATAAAAGTATCGAACAAAGAATTTGTTTCAAGTGTTGTATTTCTAACCAAATTGCGTGTGCGGAATCATTATCAATATTAGAAAAGGATTTAGTTTTACATTAACACCACCTTACGAGTGGTACAAAGCTTTCAAAACGGGTCGATAGATCGTCGAAGGCATGCCTCGTTCTGGACGACCTTCTATCTCTGCAACTGAATTTTTTGGTGGATATTTTGGGTAATAAGCGAGTTCTTGTTCAAATCGTTCCCATAAAGCTGAATTTCTTTCAAAAAAGAGCACGATTGTGACCGAATTTGAAGCCAGATAAATGCAATTGCTCGTTGTATGGGATCTATAAGAATCAAAGCCGCAATGCTTTTAAATTTCAAAATGATATTTCGACTTCCAAAAAATTAAAAAATAAAAAACAGCACAACTTATTTTGGTTAGAGCAGTAAAACCATCGTTTTTAAAACGAAAGCTTGCACTTGAAAATCAAAACTTATTTATATATTTTGTAATAAGTGTGACTTAAAATCATTTGATTTGAATTAAATTGTATATATCGTCACCTAAACGACCACTTTCAGGTAGCCTTTTCAGGCGAAGGAAAAACGCTATAATAGAAACCAGTCATTGAAACAAAATTTGAGATTCGGTTATAAAATGGTTATATATTGGTTATGTATTGGTTATGTTTTAGTTATATCTGACAGCGGAAGCTGAAAATTTTATGCTGCATATGTATAATATGATGTAGTGAATCTTAAGTAAAAAACTCTATTTCGATTTGTTTGTTTATACGTTTTTTTTTGCGTTATAGGTGGCGATATACAATATCATACAAGCCTTAATTTTTTTTTTACAAAATAAATCGGCGTACATTAATATCGTAGACTCCGAAGTCGTTGGAGTTTCACACGTATTGGCTTATGTAACATATTAATATTGAAAATACTACTTTCAATTGTTTATATTGTCAGTCAATTTTTAGTCTTTTTTAAACAAGAATTAAATAGTTTTTCTTTGCAAGAATATCACTGAATTAATAAATGATTAGTAAAATAAAAGTTTTCCTATGTTTTTTTCAGTGTCTTTAAACACGTTTTTTTATCAATCTTAATTTCAGTTGCTTTCACTGTATGCGTTTTAGCTTTATCCTTTTTTCGAAAATCCTTGTTCGTATATTTTCTTGAGTAAATTATTTTTAATTGGCACTAACCAGCAATTCCGTTTCCGTTAATGCTTATATATATATTGTTGACCAAATATGAAGAACTTTCCGCCTCGTTTGCTTATCACCACTAGTTGTAGCCGATACCGATAGTTGAATGTAAACTGCGACTTTCAACGAGCGCATCTTGCATTTTTATACCAAAAAATAGTGTTTGCATTTTCTCAAGCTACGCTTTGATACACTTCTCAGTGCCACTTTGGTGCCGTAAGTATGTATGCCAATTGAGCGACGACCACTTCATACAAACAACTTGTATAATATTGTGAGTGTGTCGGTGTTTTCAAATATTTTTGAACTTCATTTTACATCCAAGTGTACTTACTATACATACAACTTCAATTCATATTTCAACCAAAATCTCGATTCCACAAAATCTATTACAATTTCATATTGTATAATTTTGTTGTCTATGCTTCGATGCTGCAGTTTTGCCGGTGGCTATTTTTTTTTTCCTTTTTTGATAGATATGCCTACTCTTCAAAGAAACAGAAATTAAGTATAACTTATGTTGAAGTATAACGTTAAAAAGATGTACGCCGCGCATGCGCATCACACTCAATTGCGCTCCGAAAGCGCTGGCGCTCAACTAACACTCCGCACTCTCAAATGCTTTTGTTTTGCTATGTGCTTTGTATATACTATTGTACGTTGCCAGAATTGTATGTTTTCGTTTTTAATTTCTTCTGCGCTTTCGTGCTCTTTACCTGCGCTTATTAATCAGCTTAAAACTATGCGAAGGCGCAAACTGTCTTGAGAAGTTTTACTTTCGTGCTGCCAGGTGCTCAATTGTCTGTTTTCCGAATTGTTGGCGTTTGCTAAGATGCGTAATTATTTTGATTGCACATATTTTCTCATAGCTGTCGTAAATCATAGCGGCGGATACAGATATTAACTGTGAATGTTTTACTGACATTTGTCTCAAACTTAAGCGAATAGATTTTAATTTTATTTTACTCACGCTTACACACATTCGTTAGCACAAATATATTTATATAAAATTTTTCAAATACTCCTTGCCGCAACATCTTTGTGCGGTTTTTTAGAGTTTTGTAATAATTAGTGAATTAGTTTTCATCAGACTATTAGTTGTGGCCTACAAGCTGCTGCCTTAGACTCTAATCAAAGTAAGGCATAGTGAATGTGCAGTGATCGGATTGAACAGTAGCTGTTGTAGTGTGAAAACATTAATGTGCATAATATTTACCTAAAAAGCAAATATGTTTTACAACGAACGAAGTAAACGAACGGTAAATATTGTACATACATTTGTATACAAAAACTTATTTGATGAGAGCAACTTGCTGTATGAGCAATATTTTTAATACCTACCGATTGCTGTGAACTTAATGGAAGAAATGTACGTAGTATGAAGTGAAGCGGAAGAAATTGATACCAAATTGATACCTTTATAATATTTGAGATACAATTCTGAGTGTATTTGAGTCAGGACTGGACTATAAGGTGAATGCATAAGAACCTTCCGATTAAGCTCCTGGAGCTTCTGACGTGCCACTTCGATGTTTGAGGTCTGGCGTTTTCCTGATAGAACAAAATTCTTTACATATTTTCTAAAGTTGCTTGCTTCTAGGACATTACTTCTTTCAGATAGTCCAAATGTAGATAGTACTTGTCTGAATTAAAAGTTTGCCCGCAGGGCTCAGCTCAAAATATATGATTTCTTGCCAATTCTATCATACTCATCTTCCTGACAGTCAATCTTGCTTTGACCCCTGTTTTGCACTGGCTCATCTCAATTCGACCAAGAATATTTTCGCTTGACTTTGTCGTAAATAATTCGATTTTCACGCAGCAGTAACCATCCAGTTCACTAGTGGATCAATATTGTCGCGATTCATCGACGATTTGCAAATGAAAATTCTGTCCACATGGTTTTTATGCGTTAACCTGCGCGGCATCGACATCGAACTTTTTTTGTATCCATCGATTTTCATATTATAATCGACATTTTGACAGCCGGAACTCCATGCCAGTATTTATATTTAGCGAGTACTCAAACAATACTAAGTCAAACCATCTTGAAACTGTCCGAGAAGTTTTATTAGTATGAAATATTATCTTTTTAACGCTATAAAGAGTGCCCCTATCGCACTAATATAACGCGAAATACAGATTAGTAAAGTCCTCTATCGGATTTCTTTTTGCAAAACACCCCCCATAAAATTCATCTTTTTTAACTTCTTTATTATCATTAATAAGTCAGATTATTATTGAATCTGATTCATGTGATATCCGTGGATAAAAAAGGCAGTAAACTATGCTAGCGTAAGAATGGAACCCGGACTAACCTTCTGGACGCAAATCCAGCACGCCGCGGAAAAAGTGCCAAAATCATCTCCCAAATCAGCAAACTAATGCTCAGCATAAGACGCCCCAGCCAAGAAAAGATAAAGCTCCTAATGTCGACGACAGTCAGCGTCCTATTATACAAAGCTAAAATCTGGACAGACGTGCTTAAAAAAGAAAATCAGCCTAAGGTTATGGCCAGATTGAACAGTGACAGGCGATGGACTGTTACCGGTAATGTCCTAATTGACCTTCTGTCATGCGAAAGGAATAAGCTGTGGGAGCTACAGAAAACATCCGAAAATAACAAGAGCGCAACAAAACAAATAAAGAAAGAAGATACATGGCAAAGAAGACGGGAGAATGAGAGTCGCGGAAGATGGACGACCAGACTAATAAAAGATCTAATCTTATGGACAAACCTTAAATTTGTAGAAGTCGATTTTTACAACCCACAGGATGGGGAAACCCGAAAAGCCGCCGGACCTATACAACGAATCGCAGCAAAAAGCGGTACTTGGACGCAGGTGCGCAGATGTAAATCTCTCAGTGAGAAAAATGGATCGCCATCCTGAAGTAATGCAAATATGGTTCCAGGGTGGGGGACGGTTCCTTAGAGTGGGAAATATTTGTGACTTGCAAGGACAGATACCGTTGCTGTGACGACAGCACTGATGATGTGGAAGACGTCTTTTACCCCTCACCCGCAAAAACAAAAATCATGTTCTAATGGAGCATTTCTATAACGTTCTTTTACGAAAGCGAAAAACACCAAACGATAGATCAAGAGATTAGACAATTAGATCTTCCGAAAATTTGTGATTTTCAGACTATAAAGATATGTAAGTCATTGTTATTTAGGTGTGTAATAGTGTGCAAAGCTATAATATGTATATACAATATAAATATACAAGCTCATTTGCCTGTATAAGGTTTCTATGGCATATTTTATTGACCTGAAGTCACTACCAATAAAAATGACGAAGAAGTCATCTATCACTAATACAACAACTACTATGAAATAACTACAGCTCTGCTAATACACATCTGCGCAGGGCTCAATTAGTATTTGGTTACAGGTTTTTCGAAAAAGTTTCAAAAGGTCTTAAACAACAATTCGAAATTAAATAATTTCGCAGCAATTAGTCTGTTGGGGGAAACATGACAAGTTTGACAAGCCGTCGCCAACCAAATTTTTTACAAAAAAAATATTGATTTTTTTTAATTGCATTGACTTCACTCAATCGCTCTCACGGGTGACGGTAGTTAATGATGAACGAAACTAATTGATAGCGTAATCATAAATGCAATGTGAAATCAAATACGAGCATTTTCGTGTGTTCGCTGCAGCGAGCGGGAAATTATCGGTCAACGATGACTTTTGCCTTGGGTGTGAAATTATTTTTCAAACATAAATGCATACATACATATGTATGTATACATATATAAAGTATTCAAATGATTTTTTTCTGCTCATCAACCTTTAACCACGCTTTCGTCAACCAATCAGTACTTCAACCACATTCAGACCTTTTGCTTTAAACAATTGTGTAACATAAAATGAGGTATTCAATTTGGCCACGGTGAGTATATGTAAGTATAAGTAGTAACGCCGGCACTTATATACTATATACATATGTATATTTGTGTTGTTAATTTTGGTGTAAAAATAGATCGATTTCTTTGGTCGTGGTGTAAAGAGCCGCGGAAATAATATCAGATATATTGCAGTGCTTCCACACTTTTAGCATAGTGCATCCCCTCCCTATGGGAAAAAACGTTCAAATTTGGCTTTTACATTTATAATTTTATTTTGTTAAGATTTCATGATACATTTATGCCAAGGTTGGTGGATCTTCAAGTGGCTTCCATTGATAGCTGCCCCATGGAATGCATTCTTTCAATAAGTGCATGTACGCCATACCCTCAGGACAGTCTTTTTCCACAGCAGGTTCACCAAAGGTTTCGCAATACCAATACTTGGCCGGATCGAAGTGATGTTGGTAGGTCTGACCAATTTCTACAAGATCCCGGCAAGCAGATTGACCGGCGTCCGCAGAGACGCTGACCACAAGCGCTACGGCAAGTACAAAACAGAGAGCTTTACGGAAAAGTATTAAAAAACAAAGTAAATGTTAGTTTTTAAAATTTTCATGTTGATTCGAAAGCAAAAATATTTAATAATGTTAAATGGAATCATACGCATAATTACCAAATTTCATTTTCCCAACGTATTTTGATTCAAGTAAGATACAATACTTGACTAAGCATACGTTTGGTCTTTTATATAAATGAAACCGATTTTTATAATGAAAATAAAATGAAATGATAATAAAAAGTGTGTCATTTAAAAACATTAGTCAGCACTAGATATGCATTTGCAGAACATTAAAAGGCTTGTAGAATTATTATCAACCATTTAGTATAGTAAATTGATATCGGTACTTACGCGTGCAATGTCAACTGCGCCATTTATTTATTATTTGACAGTTGCAAGATAAGTCAATGCTACCTGTGCATAGTTTTAAATATTACTATAATTTTAGTAATAATTTATGGAAACTAAACCTGAAATTACCTTATTTTTACATCTTAACGCTAATGAAAGGTACACATATGTAATATATGTATACATATATATAAAGCTTTGGTATGGTGAAAATGCTTATTGACCAGTCGCTCTATAGCTGTGCAAAAAATCAATGAACCGAACTCCTTTCAAGGTCCAAATAATAAATAAGGAACTGAAGTAACATGTCTGGGGTGATCAGTTTCGAGGTTCCTTACTTTTTTTTTTAGAAAAAACCCAGAAACTTCAATTTTAATGCGGGTTGTTTACTATCACGCGAAAGAACATGCTTTGGCATTTAGTATTTTGAAGATTATCTCGTTCAAATGTTGGCCGCGGCTACGTCTCAGATGGTCCATCCGTTGAGTCTAACTTTCGATTACTCGTTCGAGCATTTCGACTGGTAACTGGAGAAAGACACGCGTGATGTTTTGCTCCATGACTTGAATCAGAGCGGGACTGTCCGAATTTAAACTTTCAACGGTGTTATATCATACGAGCTTGATGGGTAATCGAGCGACCCAACACGTGAAATTATCTGCATCAAATAGCCGCCAATGATGGTGACTTTCTCACCTACATCGTTTTTGAAGAAATATGGATTGAAGATTCCACCAGCCATTGATGATTTGACACCAAATCGTTATTTTTTCTGAATGAAATGCCAACTCTTGAATCTCTTAATGTTGCTCTTCGTCTCAAATGCGCCAATTTTTCATGTTTACATACCCAATGAGACAGAAATGGTTATTTTCGCTGAAAAAATTTTGTTTAGAAAACGTCGGCCTTCATGGAACTTTTCAAAAGCCCATAGAGCGAAGCGATGTCGCTTAGGAAGATCGAGCAGCTATGACGTCGTAACTGTGAGCTCCGAAAATAAGCCGAAGCCGCAAAAACCGAAACTGAAGACTATCCAAGTAGTGGCTTCTAACAAGTGAAAGGGAAATTTGGTTAAAGGTTGGCATGACGAAAATAAATATTTGTATTAAAATATGTAAAATTGTAGTTTTTTTCACAGTCCGGATGCCAGATAGTATACTACAAGGGGTTTTCCAAAGTGAACAGGACTTTTCGAATGTGGCGCCCCCTGGTGGCGCCATCTATATGTCGACTGGTGCTTTAGAATCTGCTATTATTCATTGAGAATTTCATGACATTTAATTGATTGGAAGTGAGTTATTGCGTTTTAAGTGTCAGATGACCAAAAATTGCTCAGACTCCAACATTCGAAGGACATCATTGAAGAGGTCATATTCAACTGATATGGCACCGTGCGACTTCGGAAAAATACTTTTGCCCATGAAAGGAAAGCGTTATGCAGACGTAGAGGCCGTGCACCGGCATACTGGCGGCCATTGTCTTAAATAGAATAAGGTAGTAGATGAACTTACTATATTGTATATGTAATGTTCATGTTTTAATATTTATGATTTTACAAAAAATTAAGCAAATTTCTTAAATACTCTTCTGGTTGAAAAATGTATGTGTATGCATTTTTCACAATTTTTGCTCCAAAACAAATTTTTATTCCGGAATTGGCAAATTTAATTAAGGTGAATTGAAGCAAGTATGTATTTGTTTATTTTCAAAATATGTCTTGGAGACAACTATATTTTATGCATTATCCAAAGTAAGTCAACTAAATTTATTTATTGGTTTTTACCGACTTCCTCGGCAATTTCGATCTACATAACCATAGCATTTACAAGAGCATAATTTGCATAAATGTTATGTGTATTTGGCGAAACTATAAGTTTTGGTTTAATAGTTTTCTGCCACTTTTTCGCATCAACACGGCGCCTCAAGTGGCTCGAAAACGCTAGCCACTTGACCAAGATACACGTACTAGCATTGCATGCTGATGGCCGCTAGTAAAGCAAACAATTAAACAAGCTTGAGAGGTTGAAGCAACGCTGGCAGCAGGCAATGGATGGGCTAATGTTAAGTAAAAACTATTACAAAATATTTTTTAACAATTAAGTACAGCAAGGTATTACGAATATTTCCAACGCCTTTCAGCGAAGCAGCGCCACACGAGTTGCAGTTAATTGCATGGAGTGATTGGGCGAAGCTTTGGCAGTGTGAAGGTACGAACTAACCAACCGCCAACGCTTCCATGGTCTATTAATGTTGAGCGTGAAAGTAAGCTGATCGCGCCTGTATACATATGTACATGAATATGTCATTACATTACACTTGTTATTACCAAACCCGGCCAATCAGTTGCCAAAGATGATGACATTTGCAAAATGTGAGCTTTGTCAAGTTTTTTGCCTGCGAAATGTAACGTGAGGAAGAAGTAAACTTAAGTAAGTGTAACAAATCGATCACCATAATTTTTCGTTAAGTACATAATGACACACATTATTTTTATATGCCGTGGAATATTTTGGAATTAAATCCTCATAACTTTGTTGGTTTTATGATCGGTAGCGGCTACGTGAATCAGTATCAATAGCTTTTAAGTAACAATATTATTAAGATCATAAATTGAAAGCGTAGAAAATGCAGCTTGTGCAAGAACTGAAGTCGATCGACCTTTCAAAGCGACATCGTTTCTCTCTATGGGCTCTAAAAAAGTTTCAAAAAGATTCGACGTTTTCGAGCCAGAAGAGGCTCATGAGCTGTCATTTCATTCAGAAAAAACAACGGTTCAGTGTGTTTTGTGGGCCGTTGGAACGATCGGTCCATATTTCTTCAAGAATGATGCCGATGAGAACGTAACTGTCAATGGCCACCGTTATCGAGCCATGATAACCGATATTTGGTACCTCAAATTGAAGCTCGTGTTCTCGACGACAACAAAACGGTGCCACTTCCCACACATCGCATCAATCAATGGATTTATTGAGAGATTTCGGTGAACAGATAATTTCACGTTATACTTTTAGACTTTTTCCTGTTGCAATATGTCAAATCTAAAATCTATGCGGACAATTCTTCTTCGATTTAGGCTTTCGTAAAACATTACGCGTGTCATTCCTCAGTCATAATGCTCGAACGATTGAACTCAACGGATGGACCATTTGAGAAGTAGCAGCGACCAACATTTGAAGGGGATAATCTTTAAAAGTAGGTAAGGTCGAAATGGACCACCGTACATATTATGGTATCCGTTATCACCACCAAACGAGTTTCCGTGTAACATTTTTATGTTCCTTTCTCTTATGCAGTCTTTTAGATCATGGTAGTGTATCTTCATGTTACAGAAAGCAAAACAACAGTTTTGACCTGCCATGTCGTGGATTATTTGAATTTTAGTCCTTAAGAAGCGAAGGGCTTGGACTTGGACCAATAAAAATTAAAATTATTAGCATAAAAATCTAAAAAGCGAACCACAATGAATGTCTGCATTGGCTGATAAAAGCTTCGTACACACAGGAATTCAATACAAAATGCATATTTCATGCGAATTCTAAAGAATTGAACGCACTTTTTGCAAGACACAGACATTCAGTTAAGTGCTTTCCCTTGTTTATCACACAAATTGCAGCAATTCAGAGAAGCAGATAAGTATGTTAGCTATTTTGGGAGTGAGCAACAATATAAATAGAACTGCAAAGTAGGGAAAAAGTTAAAAACAATTTCGGTTGAAAGTTGCAAACAATTACAAATCGCATTATGTATAAAGGTAAGAATATTTTTATGCAATTATAAGTAATGAAATTAATAATTAATTATTTAAAATTATTTTTATTTTTTAGTAACAATTGCTGTTCTGCTTTTGGCCGCTGCTGCCAGCGCTGTGCACATTCAACAGCGTTATCACGGTCAAGACATCTACGCTGAGCCCGAATGCTCCATTGTAACCGATCACTCGCGCATGTTCCGGGACATATCCGACCCGACACACTACTGGATTTGCCCTGAAGGTCAGGAGAAGGCGGATTACATACAATGTCCGGACAATTACGCATTCATGGAGAAGGAGCAAAAATGCGTCGTATGGGAGGAATGGAATTGGGTTGAACCATACACTAAATAAATTTATAACGAAACCTTGCTAACCAACTTGAATAAAATTCTTTGAAAATGAAATTTTTAATTTATATTGCTTTCTAATATTATTAGTGATTTGGAGTTTATAGCAGAACCTAAACTTTCAATGAACAAGAATGAAATTTATGAGTAATATGTTTCCAAAGTAGGAGTTTCCTTGGCATATTAAAATCACTTACTGTCTTCCGGATTTATGTGCTTTCCAAAAGCTTTGATTTATATTTCTATAAGATTATTTAATATTATATAGTCGAAAAAGTATTTTCGTATTTTGTCAATAGATGTCGTTACAGTCGTATATCTCCTGCACTACCAATCACATTGTGTCATATTGTATAATGTTGGAAAGGTGAGATTTAAGCTTCATTCAACCAAAAAAAAAATTAAGTTCGGGGAATTTGAACAAACTTACAGTGAGTGAAATAATAAAGAAATTCGCTATATTTTGAAATTTTTCCATAAAAAAGGAAAATTCCACACCTTTGGTCGACCTTTCGTTGAAAAAGTCGATGAAATTATGTAAAAGATTGACCAGAACCGTCACATAAGCAGCCATCACATCGCTAAGGAATTTAACATTCGTCATCTAATAGTTTTGAATCATTAAAAAAAGTCTGGCTACAAAAAGAAGCTTGATGTTTACTATATGAATTGTCTGTGAAAAAATTAATGGGCCGAATTAACAACTGCGATCCTTTGCTGAAGTGAAATGAAATCGAACCATAACTGAAGCGATTGGTAACAGGAGATGAAAAGTGGATCAAATACGACAATAATGTGCGAAAAAGATCATGGTCCAAGCGTGGCGAAGCTCAACAAATGGTCGCAAAGCCAAGGTTTTTCGCCTAGAAAGGTTATGCTGGGTGTTTGGTGGGATTGGAAATTAATCATCCTGATTCTACATTTTACTGTCAACAACTGATGAGATTGAAGCAAGCAATCGATAAAAATTGCCAAAACTGATCAACAGAAAAGGCTTCATCTTCCATCAGGGCAACGCTAGACCACACATATCTATGAAGACTCGGCAAAAACTGGAAGAGCTTGTCTGGGAAGTTTTGATGCATCCATCATATAGGCCTGACCTTGCACCATCTTTCGGACAATGCAGCACTCCTTTAATGGAGTAAAGTTGCCTTCAAGAGAAGCCTGTCAAAATTACTAGCGCCGAGAAACCAGAAAAGTTGTACCCTGATGGAAAAATGACAAATGTGGTCGACCAAAAAGGTATATATTTGGTTCATTAAAGTTCATTACACATAAATATAAAAAACAAAATAAGTTAAAGTATGAAAAGAGTTTTTCGACTACCCAATAGGTTATTATTTTGACCTTTTATATATTAATATTTTATTAGTAATTACTACTCAAGCTCATTTAATCACTATGTCGACGCATTAGAATTCTTAGACAACTATCAAAAGCAATTATCGCCCACATTCTGCACTTTGCATATACTATATTTAACCCCTCTAAAGGTCATACGGATTTTCTCTTGCATTTTAAATGAACTAATTGTATCTGATAACTTTTTCCTTTATGTCCGCATGTACTAATAACTAACAACAATTAAAGCAGCAGACAGTCTGCTTTTTTTTAGGTAAGTGTTAATCCTGGTATTGACCTATAAAGTACTCGTTTAGGCCGAATTCAACAATTATTATTATAAATTACATTTTCATTTTCTTTTGAGCAAACACAAAGCACGCACAACAACAATTGAAGAAATACTATGTGTTTATAAATTCCATAAGCTGTACAGCAGACAATAAATCGAATAGAAAACATAATTGAAAAACATTATCATTTCCAATTTGTAATTTCTTTGCCAGCTATCGGTTAGGAAATATGTGCGGTTAAAAATGCATAGGTCTGCTGATGACCAAAGGTACTTAAGCGTGTATGTTTGTACATCTGTGTGTGTAATCGCGTCTAGTGGTCCAATAAATCGCAAGTAGGCCGCAATACGAATGATGAAATGAAAATTGGGCGAAATAAAGCAAGGTAAAGGCTGATTGATGCGCATATCTTATAAACGAGAGCATGAATACATATGCTTATGTGTATGTGTGTGCCCGTTACAAGTGGATATCTGTAAAGTGTGCACACTTATGCATTCCCATTTCTTCACCCACACAAACACTACAAATATAAGTGCTTATTTAAAAAGTTTTCGTACATTGCATATAAGTAATTGCCCAATTTCTCATTACGTGATGTTGTCGGCCGATTGCTTTTAAGTATTAGTATGTGCACTTGTGTGTATATTGCTTATGAGTGTTTAAGCATGTAATAAATTTGTAATTACATATGTACATCTGAGTAATGCATGCCGCTAACTTTAAATAGTTTTATGTTATTGTTATTTTTTTTTTTTCATAGATATGTTTATAACCTAATCTTGGTTCAATTAAAAGGAGAATGTCTGTTCCTAAGAGCAATAGACTATTGCGGATGTTCCTCACATGCATAATATTACAATCGACCACAACATGTGCGGACTGGAATAGATACCGTAAGTTGAAGAGGGAAGCGAAACGCATTTGCAGACAGAAAAAGAAATGCGTGAGTATGAAGGGCTTGATAAGCTGGACGTCAATTACCTCTGACAAAAACTCTACGAAAAGATGCGGCGAATAGCAGAAGTTTTCAAGATCGGAATAGTATGGATAACCTCCTGAGGTGCTCTAGTGACTTATGCTCACAGCATGCTGAAGTAATGGAGGAAACACTTCCCCTGTATGAAATTCACACCACCAGTTCGTCGATTTTAAAGCTGCTTTTGACATAACGAAAAGGAGCTACCTTTATGCCGCTATATCCTCGCAAAACTAATTCGGTTGTATAAACTGACGACAATACCAAAAACTCCGTTAGGATTCGTAAGAACCCTTTCCGAGCCATTCGATACCAAACGAGGCTTCAGACAAGGCAACTCACTATCGTGCGACTTCTTCAATCCATTGGTGTAGAAAATAACTCGATAATACCTCCACCTCGTTGAAACGACCAGTTAGAGAAGAACTTGGAAGGAACTTGGAATCTCCAATTGGCACCAAATAGCGAAAAAAAGAACGACTGCGAAAGAAAAAACGACTGCGTAAGCGAAGTCTACGCCAAAAAAGAAGAAGAAGATGTATATGAACTAAAAGTGAAAAAAAGAATAATAACAGTACTATTTTACTTACACTTTCTACAGAACAATAATTTTATTGGAATATATCCTAATGTACGTTGCTTGTACAATTAGTATTGACAAGACTCAATTTGTTCCAACTGTTTGACATTTTTAACATACATACATATTCTATAGGTCAATTGGTATTTCTAATAAAAGAGATGGCTAAATGAAAGGGTGCGAACACATATGGATTCTAAACACGAACTTGAATTGTAAATTTTACTTCGTTACTGAGGATTTATTGTTATCACCTTGAAATTTATAAAGTACTATTAATTGTAGACTATGGTCTCTGAAAAAAAAACAGAAGTGTTAGAAATTATTAGGTCTAACTCTTGGAAAAAATCTTTTAGTGATTGCCTCTACGTTTTGGTATCACCAAAAGTGTTAAAAACACGTTAGTGGCATCCGTATAGTCAACAGATAACTCAGCATCTCAGTAGTAATCAAAAAGTTTGTAGAATATACATACTATATCTTCAACACAAGTTGGAGTATACATATGTATATTTATACATTTGCATATATGCACATGAGTAGTATGTAATTTACATCTGTGAATATTTATGTATACAAAGGTCAATCTAATTGCAGATGTACAATTTATATCGAATGCACAACAATTGAGATCTATTTGTCAGAGTGATTAACTTCGTATCTACTATATGTATTTAGCAGAGCACTCTTCAATATTTCCAGTAAATTTATTGTGAATATGCTATATTTTCCGTGTCTTAACGATTGGCATAATCATTATGGATGGATTTACTTTCAATATCTCTGTTATCTCTTCATTCAATAATTGTATGTTTGTTTGCATATTATTTATTTTAAGCGCCATTATTATATTATGTATGCAATGCTTATATGTACCAAGCAAATCCCGTTTATACCAAGTTTCACGCTATAGATCCTAACAATATGAAACTATTAAGGAAATTAGTATATTTTTGAAGTGTTCACTATAAACTTTAAGTGTACTAGGTTGATAAATTTATCATAATTTTTATCGATGCACACAATAAATACCGATTAAGGTACACCCTAATATACATGCACACAGAGTGTCAGAGGGTCTGATTGTTAAGCAAGTTTATGTTTATTAGGTTGATTGCTTTAGGGTTTGGTCCAATTAAAGTGCACTTTAGTTATAAATATGTGTATGTATCATTATATGTAAACATTTACATATGTATGTATAAGATTTATGAATTTATTGTTATTATTTCAAAACACTGCACGAGGACATATGTATACTCGTGAGTACTTAGGTACTTAACACGCCCATTATTAGCACAAATGATGTTTTAATGTTGATTGTTTCAATTGCTCTTTAGACATTTATGTTAATGCCATTCAAAATGAGTAAAAACATGACTAAGTTTTATACATACGTTTGTATATAAAATAGTATATTTCTTCTTCTTCTTCTCAAACCGTTATGCTATAATTACACTTTTATAAATTGTATACTTGTCAATTATATACCCATATATTCATCATTTGAATTTTGACTAAATTAAGAGAATGTTGAAAATCCCTAATACTTTGATTTAATTATAAAAAGTTGAGAATAATTTATTAATAAATTTTCAAATGGAACATTTCACATACTTTAGACAATTTATTCTACTAYATGCTAATGTGCGATATAATTTTATTATACCTTATAAATTTAAATTTAATATTATTTAGTTATACATACATACATAAGTATTTGCTTAGCATTGTACTTAACATTGAAATATTTACGCAATTTTCGCATATTCAACATTCACATTTGGCGATGCAAAAACAAAAACATTCATATTAAGCACATTACTGCCCATTAAAAATGTTGCATAAATACCCACACATAAACAAACAGTT